TCAACCATTCTCCATTCAACCCTTGTAAATTTTGCGACCCGTTACTTTGCTTTGGCGACGCTTGCTATGTCTGCGTTCAGACACGGAAACTCGAGTTGCTTATTATCGGCGATTTCTCTTTTGGTGTTGCCCTTTGCATTCACACGCAGCAACTCTTTTGTATGCAATTGTTGTTGTCAGCTGTGAACGAAGGAGAGAACAAAGCGTGTTGCCCGAGTACGAGCAACTTGGTACCCGTTCCCTTTCCTCGTCGCTCTCCCCTACAAGCTTCGAGTTGCCGCAACAAATGTTTCCGTGTCTGAACATCGACTTCTTCTTCTTAATTGGCTCTGTAACCGCCTAAGCGATTTTGGCCGAGTCCAAAACAGCACGCCAGTCATTTCTCTTCTGTGCTAACTGACGCCAATTGAAAATGCCAAGTGAAGCCAAGTCCTTCTCCACCTGGTCTTTCCAACGCAGAGGAGGCCTTCCTCTTCCTCTGTTACCAGCATCGCGGCCCGCGTTGAATATTTTCAGAGCAGGAGCGTTTCTGTCCATCCGAACGACATGGCCAAGCCAGCGGAGCCGCTGAAATTTAATTCGCTGCACTATGTCTATATCGTTGTAAAGCTTATACAGCTCATCGTTAAATCGTCTGCGATTTTCGCCATCACCAACGCGTAAAGGTCCGTAAATCTTTCGCAGAATCTTTCTCTCGAAAACTCCAAGAGCCGCCTCATCAGATGCTTTCATTGTCCATGCCTCCGCGCCATACACCAGCACAGGCATGATGAGTGACTTATAGAGTGTGATCTTTGTACGACGAGAGAGGACTTTACTTCTCAATTGCCTACTCAGCCCAAAGTAGCACTTGTTGGCAAGAGTGATTCTCCGTTGGATTTCAAGGCTGACATTATTATTGGTGTTAATGCTGGTTCCCAAATAAACGAAGTCGTCTACTTTTTCAAACTTGTAACTGTCAACAGTGACGTGGGTGCCAAGACGCGTATGCTCTGACTGTTTGTGTGCTGACAGGAGATACTTCGTTTTGTCCTCGTTCACCACCAGACCCATTCGCTTTGCTTCTCTATCCAATCCCAAGAAGGCAGAACAGACGTAGCCCTTGTTTTTACCGATAATATCGATGTCGTCGGCATACGCCAGCAATTGTACGCTCTTATAAAGTATTGTGCCTGAGCGGTTCAGTTCTGCGGCTCTTATTATCTTCTCCAACATAAGATTAAAGAAATCACACGAAAGGGAGTCCCCTTGTCCGAAACCTCGTTTGGTATCAAACGGCTCGGAGAGGTCCTTCCCTATTCTGACGGAGCTGGTGGTATTGCTCAACGTCATTTTACACAGCCGTATTAGTTTCGCGGGGATACCAAATTCAGACATCGCGGCATAAAGGCAACTTCTCTTCGTGCTGTCGAAAGCGGCTTTGAAATCGCCAAATAGATGGTGTGTGTCGATCCTATTCTCGCGGGTCTTTTCCAAGATTTGGCGTATTGTGAATACCTGATCTATGGTGGATTTTCCAGGCCTAAAGCCACACTGATAAGGTCCAATCAGCTCGTTGACGGTGGGCTTCAGTCTTTCGCACAATACGCTCGATAAGACCTTGTAACCTATGCTTAGAAGGCTAATTCCGCGGTAGTTGGCGCATATGGCGGGGTCGCCTTTCTTGTGGATTGGGCAGAGCACATTTAAATTCCAGTCGTCGGGCATGCGTTCATCTGACCATATTCTGCATACGAGCTGATGCATGCACCTCATCAGCTCCTCGCCGCCGTACTTGAATAGCTCGGCTGGCAGGCCGTCAGCTCCAGCAGCTTTGTTGTTTTTCAACCGCGTAATCGCTATACGTACCTCGTCATAGTCAGGCGGTGGGACATCTACTCCATCATCATCGACTGGGGACTCGGGTTCGTCTTCCTCACTACTTTCAGCGCTGCTACCATTCAGTAGGTTATAAAAGTGTTCCCTCCACAATTTAAGTATATTCTGGACATCGGTCACTAGGTCGCCATTGTTGTTCTTACAGGAGTTCGCCCCGGTCTTGAAACCTTCCGTAAGTCGCCTAACCCTCTGGTAGAATTTTCGGGCGTTCTTCCTGTCGGCCAGCATCTCAAGCTCTTCGCACTCACGTATTTCGGCCTCTCTCTTCTTATTGCGGTAAATACGTCTCGCTTCCATCTTCAGTTCCCTATAACGGTCCCACATGGCTCGCGTTGCGCCCGATCGCAGCGTGGCCCTGTAGGCGGCATCTTTTTTCTCTGCGGCTTCTTGACATTCCTTATCGTACCAGTTGTTCTTTCGGGCTCGCTGAAATCCAACTACTTCTTCGGCGGCGGTACTTAATGATCGGGAAATGTGGTTCCACTGCTCGCGTACGTTGGATTGTTGAAGAGTGCTCTCAGAGAGCAGGTGTGTGAGTCGAGTGGCGAATAAATTGGCCGTCTGTTGTGATTGCAGCTTTTCGACGTTAAGCTTTCCTTGCATTGTTGGGCGCACATTTTTTGCTGCACAGAGGCGGGTGCGTATCTTGGCTACAACAAGATAGTGGTCCGAGTCGATGTTTGGCCCTCGGAGTGTACGTACGTCCAAAACGCTTGAAGCATACCTTCCGTCTATCACAACATGATCGATTTGGTTTCTCGTTTTTCGATCTGGAGACAGCCATGTAGCTTGGTGGATGTTCTTATGCTGGAACCTAGTACTACATATTACCATATTTCTGGCCCCGGCGAAGTCGATCAGCCTCAGTCCGTTATCGGACGTTTCGTCGTGGAGGCTGAATTTTCCGACAGTGGCGCCAAAGATCCCTTCCTTGCCCACCTTGGCATTAAAATCGCCAAGCACGATTTTGACATCGTGTCGGGGGCAGCGCTCATATGTACGTTCCAAGCGCTCATAGAAGAGATCCTTGGACGCCTCATCCTTCTCTTCCGTCGGGGCATGGGCGCAGATGAGCGAGATGTTGAAGAATCTAGCTTTGATGCGGATTGTGGCTAGACGTTCGTCCACCGGGGTGAACGCCAGTACTCGGCGACGGAGTCTCTCTCCTACCACGAATCCAACACCGAATTTGCGCTCCTTTACGTGGCAACTGTAGTAGACGTCGCAAGGCTTCACGCTTACTTTACCTTGCCCCGTCCATCGCATTTCTTGGATGGCGGTGATGTCAGCCTTTGTCTTCCCGAGGACATCAACCAGCCGGGCAGAGGCACCTTCCCCATTAAGGGTCCGGATATTCCAGGTGCATACCCTTAAATCATAGTCCTTTATACGTTTGCCGTGGTCGTCATCAGAAAAAGGGGGTCTCATCCGAGGCTGTTTTTTTCTTTTCATTGGGCGGGGTTTTAACGTGGCGGGACCCAAACCCAGCGCACGCGAAGTTTTACGCCTTCTCACTTTAGCTCGCTCCCAAACGGGTGTTTGGTTGCTACCCAGAGGATACGTGGATATAAATATCCGGACGTTGTGAGCTGCGATTTGAACCGTACGCACAAGAATCGCTTCTGGCCACTCCCAGGTGAATGGCAGTCAAAAGTTTTCCACTTCTGCGCACGGAACCATCCTCCTCTGAACATCGACTATGAAAATATATTTGGGAAAATTTTCCAATAATGGACCAGGCTTTAAAAAAAGGGTGATGATTTTAAATCTGAAGGTGACTCCCTCCGGGCTTATAGTTTTTAAGCAATTAGTAGTTAAAGTTGCAAAAAAAGTCAAATTCAACCTCGCTTCTTCCTTTGTAGAGCGATTGAACTGAAACTTTGGTGCTGCCACACATACCAAAAAATGTCGAAATACAAACTGAAAACGGAAACATTGAAAACGCACGGTTTTTTAGTGCATATTTTCACTATATATCAAAGTATTGATTTAAAAAAAGCCGCGAAAGCGAAAATTTGCAATATATCGAAGTATTGTTTTTTTTTAAGCATGCCGCGGTATCCGATCAATAAAGCGCCATATCTTCCATACAACTGCATCAAATTGAATGATTAAAACACCAACAAAACCAACAGCCACATGATCAAGTTTAAATAGCACTGGAATATCTGCGCTTGATTGTAGTTGGCTTAACAAATGAAAAAGTGGGAAAAAAGCAACGATAATTTACAAGGCGAACTTAGCACAGTGCGTAGGCAACTGGCTGAGTCAGTGGGATCGTCGGTTCGAATCCTACTGAAAGAAGTCTGATGAGGAAATGTGGTGATTTCCGAAATAGCTATCACTTCTACCGTTTTTTCAAATTATTGTTGCTTTTCCGCAATAAGTTTTCATTAAAAACGGCCTCAAGCTCAACAAAAATTGTTGAATATAATTGTTATAAGGCCATAAAATAACAAAAAACAAATAACTTAAGGACGAGCACACCTAAAAGTTAAACATTCTAAAAATAGAATTATTAACAAAAACCAACAACCACATGATCAAGTGTGAATAGCAGCGGAATAGCTGCGCTTGATTGTGTTGGCTTAACAAATGAAAAAGTGGGGAAAAAGCAACGATAATTTACAAGGCGAACTTAGCACAGTGCGTAGGCAACTGGCTGAGTCAGTGGGATCGTCGGTTCGAATCCTACTGAAAGAAGTCTGGTGAGGAAATGTGCTGATTTCTGAAATAGCTATCACTTCTACCATTTTTTCAAATTATTGTTGCTTTTCCGCAATAAGTTTTCATTAAAAACGGCCTTAAGCTCAATAAAAATTGTTGAATAAAAATATTAATTATTAAATAAAAAGAGAAATATAGCCAATACTGTTCAAGAAAAGGAGTTTCTATTATTGCCATCAGTGCAAATTACAAATCCCGAAAATACCAGGATTATTTGCTAAGAATCCCGGGATTTTTGGGACTTTAAAAAGGCCGGGATCCCGGGATTAACATTCCTAGAACATACATACATAGATAAACGGATATTTCTGGTTGTAAAATATTGACAAAAATACTTACGCATAATAATGATTTCACGACCTTATTAAATATTTATGTAATTAATTTCTTTTTAGACGTGAATGAAACGGCAGCGTCAGAATCTTCGGAAAATTTACGAAAATCTGTCTTCCGCGCAAATCCACTAGAAGTCCAACAGCGTTTAGACAAGGAAAACTTTTTGCTTTTTGCTGAAAAACATCGAACTGTACTTAATCAGATTCTAAGGCAATCTCCGATTCATTTGTCGGATGGGCCGTTTGCTGTTTTGGTGGATCATACACGAATTCTCGATTTTGATGTGAAAAGAAAGTATTTCCAGACTGAGCTCGAGAGGATTGATGAAGGTGTTCGTCGTGAAGAAAACACCGTTAGTGTACGCCGCGTCACTGTATTTGAAGACTCGTTTCGCGTGTTATATCGTCTAGGACCAGAAGAATGGAAAAATCGTTTTTACATTGTTTTTGAAGGTAAAATTTTAACCAATGAGTTCATTTTGAATTGTTGAGTTTTTTTTTTATTCGCAATAATGTGATGTAGATACGTATCGCTCATTTACTTCAATAGTGTCATAACTCAAAAAAGTGAGACTCGGGGGTGAAACGGCTTTAAAGTTTTGAATTTACATATACTCTCAAAGCAAAAATTAATACATTCTGTGCTCTAGTCCGATACTTGCTATGAAACTTTTACACAACATCAACTTTATCAACTTACAATGTTGTATGTCCAGACACCTATTATAGCTATAATACCTTTGCTTTGCAAAGATCTTATAAAAAAGTCTAGACATCAACCCTGTCGGTAGGCATAATATCAAAGACCATACAATTGACACGAGAGGTAAATGTCGCCTTGCCGGAAGTAGTTAAATATTGCGCCTAAAAATATGAACTATATTCGCGAAATGGACGACACGCCATTTCTTTAAATGAAATTAATTCGTGCTCGTATGTATGTATCAGGGTTGTTGCGCATATTCGCATTCGCATTCGCAACCGCGGAGCTTTCGCATTAATTTTGACATTCGCATTTGCTTTCGCATTCGCACTAATCAATGCGGAGCTTTTGCGAATGCGAATCTTGTGTAAGTGCACCGGAACGTATATCTGGCAAACAAAATGACAAATTGTGGAGGATTCGTGTAACAAAACTGGTCAAATGATATATTTATCAACTTTGATAAAAATGTCTTTAAATATATTATTTATTAAGCTATATAACCGAGCTATCAATTGGCAGTCATACAAGTTCCCACTTCTACTTGACCTTTGACGTACTTCGAAGAGAACATAGTCCTTTAAATAATATTTTTGACGTAGAATACGTCTTACGTTTCGATATGGAAGCTATGCTCTAATGTTGTAGTTGTAATTTTTAGAGCTTCACGAAAACGCTTATTGCACGAGAACTAGTGAAGCGATCTCAAACAAAAGTGTTAATTAATGTAAATTAATGTAATGTAATGTAACCGATTCGGTGTCTGTCGTAGAAGCAACGGTAAATATTGGCTTATTTTGGGGTCAATTTTAAGCTTTTAAAGTGCTCTATGGTTGGCAGATATAACTTTCATTTTCGGGATATAGGTTCTTTGGAGCAGTAGAAATATTATCGTGTAAAAATTTTACACAAATTCAACAAATATCGAGCATTTAAAGGCAAAAAATTGTTGAACGAATTTGCTCATTTTTTTTTATACCAAAATGATCGAAAACAGCTGGAATGAATTTGTTTTTGTTTTCTTTAATCAAAAATTCAGGTGTTTTCCTTTCGTTTGGTGTATGGGAAGTATTGGTTGACATCTTCTAAGTATGTTTATTTTATTCAAATATATGGGCATAAATGCTTTTCCATACAAAATCACATCGTCATCAATTTGCAAACACGTGCATTAGGCTGGGTCGATTTTGTATGGGGGAAAATAAAAGCCATTTGACCGCATTGTAAGATTAATTTAAAACTTATCTTTAGCCCGCGCAATTGCATCAAAGTGTATGAAATTTGAAAATGAAACTTTGGCTTGTAATATCTATGGAATGCGCTATTGTTATAAACAGGACGATATATCAAATTAAGGGCTATTAAATTTAGTACCTCACGTTCATTTATCATTTTTCAATAAGTCTACACGTTTTTAAGATATTAAGATAAAACTTACAAAAACTATAATTTTCCCTTATGAATTTTCAATTCTTCATTACTTCAGCAACCAAGTGAAAAATACAAAAAAGTGAGACGAGATTTGTTTCAAACCTTTTAATGTTTTCGGATGTTTATATAATATTAAAATGACCATGGACTTGGTCACGCCGAGTTTTCAAAATCGTGGTGAATGAATGTATTGTCAAAGATTAGGAATCGTTCGACAAGTTAATAGTAGTTTCAAATATATAAGTATTTACATACATTACAATTAGGGTGAGAAACTCATATTTTAAGTCCATTTTTGCAGTCTTGAAAACTGGTGCAGAATGGTTTCATTAGTCGCCGCAGAAGCACATTTTTCGCGGTTTCTAAATTTGCCGTTATATGATAGTAGGGGACGTGCAATAAGTGTTTAGATATACATAAATATTTTAGTTAATTCCATTATGTAAAAAAGTGTCTGTAGGTAAATGCAATAGTCTTTAACATATCCTGGGAAATCCTTTTGAGGACTCTCCAACTGGACGATATTGCTTTGCATTCAGCTTGAACGAAAAAAGTCATTCGCTGGCACAGTTTTCTGTAATCCGGTTCTTTTATTTAAAGGTTATTTATACAATTGAAGAGACATTTTTTTTAGAAAAAAAACTGGAAATCCACTTAAGTTTTTCGATATAACTTTGGTAAATGTTACTCGATCGGTGCGTAATAATTAACAAATTGGAGGCGAGATTTAATGTTACTGATTTTTGATAATAATATGACTAAAATAGTTCAGATTATAAACAAATTATTTTAAAATAAAAAAAATCTTGAACAAAATTTTTTATCATTTTCTTATATTTGCAACTTTTATATTGTATGCCTAAACATAAGTAAACCTATTAGTGTGTCTAGAAGTTGTGCCTGTTCAGTGTTTCCATACTAATTTGCATAAACAAAATTTTTCCGCGATGATGGAAAATAGTGGCTATTCTATTAGAGTTACCGAAATTGTTTCTAACTTTGCAAAAGTTCGCAAACTATAGCTAATATTATAAAAGGATTAGAATATTTGGAACTAGCGATCTAAATGTACGCCAGCTATATTAATGTTGTTCTTTACATCTTTTGACTATAGACCAGTGCAATTATCAAGAGAACAATTAAAATTTTCTTGAAAATAGATGAGTTTGAGATTAACGATAAGATAAAGGGCTGCGCGAAATGATACTTGACTTTATCTTTTGCGTTAAAGGATTCATTATCTAATAATATGCACCAAAATTTTTGGCTAAACCCAGAATTTTTAACAAGAATTGGTCTTATTCGACTAGCGTGCTGTGGGTCACTTGGCGGTCGATGCGCGGGCTCTTACAATTAAAATGAAAGACTAATATTTTGCAGGCTTGTTGTTGACTTCATGAGACAATATATTTTCACTATTACCAAGGGATTTGAGAAAAATTTGATTTTCGACCCGCCCTAACGTGCATGTATAAAAACAGTTAGGTGCTGGCAGAGACAATAGGATGCTTGTTGTTTTCGCTGTGGTTGTCGCCCAATTTTGCGAGAAAAGAATAACGGACCTGCGCATTGCGCAACCTCTAATATATAAACCATGCAAAAACGGCTCTCTAGTACACTATGGCTGACTTCCAAAACGTCAATTGCTTTGCATACGTACAAAGTAAAACGTTCAATAACGCCGAACTACAAAATGTTGACGATGTATACTTTTCCAAAACGCATCCGAAAATTTATCGAAACGCATCGCTGGCCCTATCAGAGCATCAGAAACAAAGTTGATGCTTCGTTTGTTATTGGTTACCATTGGTGTTTTAAAAATGGAAAATTCATAAAAATTGTTCATTGGTATATTGAATATTTAAAATATGCAATGTATATGGTTGCAATGTGTCGCAACTCTGCTTATACGAACAGTTTGAATACCGCAGTATAACAGTTTCCAAACATTGTATTGATACGTTTTGGAAGCCAGCCAATACTTTGACAAAAACGGTACTAGACTGTCTCGCTTTGATTTCGGAATGCTTACACATTGAAATGTTTGCTTACTGCCAATATAGAAGTATTACATCTATGCCCTCACTTTTCTAACTTGCGCAGCGAACGCTCACTGTTGACCGGAAACAGAATATTCTAACGCTGCTTTTAAATAAATTTTCCCTCTCTAGAAAGATCGTGACGGTTTTAAGTTAACATTTTAATTTCTGCATTGTATTCTTAAAAAGTAGTGATGGATCCGCAT